CTTAATCTCCCAACTTCAGTGCCTTGGGGTAACCTTGCTTAGCAAAGATATGTTTTTGCCTAGACAGGTCTGCTTGGAATCTAGAAGTAGCTCTGACTCCTTTAGTGAGAAATGTATTCTCTCCCAGATAAGTCCCTACCCCAGCCTTTCCACTCTGCCCTACCTTTGAACCACCACGTAAGCTGGTGAGTCAGTTCTTCATGGAAACTGCGTGATACCCATCAGTCTTGGCTAAAAATGTATGTTGACAAAGATGAAAGTCCTGCCATCCCCTCAGTACTGCCATCCTCTTACCAGCAAGTAGAAGGCCTAGAGAGGCTATGTCCCAAATCCTACCTCACTGCTGAATTAGACTGGGCTGCTCATGCTTGTGCTAGTCTGCTAGCAATTAGTCAAGCCTGACTCCAGACATTTAAGAACCAAAGGGTTCTTAAACTGCTAGGAGAAGAATGGTGGGCAGGAGAATGGCTTCTTTCTATCTTGAACTGAAGCCCTGAACTTCACAGGCCTCTGATGAGGATTCCACTTGCAGCCCTAAAAGGTTCTACTTATGGAGATGACCCTTAGCTGTGTGGTGCATGCACCTGACCTTTCCCTCTCCCCTGCCATCCATCCCCATTCCTGCCCTGTGCCCTGTTGGTGCGTGTCTGAGTTTATTTCACTTTGTTTAAATCGTGCGTTTGCCTGTCTTTCGCAGATATCTCCATGTCTCCTCAGCAAACTGGAGCTAAGTAGTGGGGAGCAGACCAAAGCCCTGAACCAGTTAGAGAGGGTACTACTCTTTAAGAACCTCAAGGTCTCTCTCCCTCTCTCTCCCTTCCTCTTTTTATTCTTTAAATGTTTATTTTTTATATGTAACACCTGGGTCCCATTTCCATTGTGTAGAGCACAACTTACCCCTCCCTAGTAACACAGCACGGCTTTGGAAGAGTTGCACGTGATTGTAGCTTTGCAGTGCTGGGAATTCTCCTGGGGCATCTGGTTGCCTAGAGACAGGAGAAGGAAGCCTTGAACACCACATAGTTAGCCTAGAGAGCCTGGGGTCTGCTGTTATCCTGTGGGGAGGCTTCAGATCTACCATTTCTAGGGGAACTATAAGGGATCTTCAAGCAAGAACCTTCCCTCTTCTAGCTTCTCCTTGTCTCAGAGCTGGCATAGAGAGATTAAGCACAGTCCTCAGCACTATCTGGATACCTGGACTGGATTTGGAGGGAAAGTGTAGTCCGTCTAGTTGGGATCTTTTTTTTTTTTCTTGGTTACCATTAAAGGGGTCATTCTAAGGATTAGAACTCTAGATTGATGGAAAGAAGCCAGGTGCCAGGAGAGCCCAGGACACAGAATATTTTGGGATCTGCAAAGATGCCCTTTGTCCTCTAAAAGTCAAGGTATAGGGGAGCTTAGGGGAGGGATCCAAGCTAAAGATTACCCTAATCTGCATATACCTGCCTTAGGAAGAAAGAGAAAAGAAGGAGGTATGGGCTGTCTGGGCTATCCATCACAGGAGTGTGCATGCTAAAGGTGTGGTTGTGGACATACAGGTCATTGAAAATAAAAAACTCTGTGTGTGTCCACCTAGCTAGATAGTCCATTGGCCTGTGTTCTCTTTGAATGCATTGTGTCATTTCATTTATGTGGTTGCATAGTCTCAAGCTGCAGCTCTCATTAGTGGCTATCCAGCATGTTGCCATGATTATTAACCTGGGACCTGCTCCTTTTTATAAAGCTTACACTGTCCTTTGGAATACAGAGTCATACAGATAAGGTAGTGTAGAGTTCCATGAATACCTACTGCCCACCCCCCACCTTCGGACTTTAGGAGAGGGAGAACAGCCATACGTTTTAAGGGCTGAGGCATTTGTGAGAACTGGCAGCATCTTGGCCCCTACTCCAGCCAGGAGGCTGAGAACACTCATTGAAATGACCAGGTTGGAGCAAGCTTTGCAGAAGATAGAGAAGGAAATGTGAAAAGCTGATCCTCATATGAAACGGAATCTAAATGACTGACTGGCTTCTCAGTGGAAGTAGGATTGCCTGGATTCCCTGAAATGGGGGAGCCTCCTGGAGAAAAAGGCTACCTGATAAAAGTAGATCCAGTTCTTAGTACTTTTGGGAGCTCAGTGATAACTGCCAATAGAGCCAGGAGGTCCCTCATTGATCTCTTGGCTTCGTGCCCTTCTGCATGTTTGGCAGACTCTTCTCCCAAACATTTTTTACCATGAACTTGATCCAGTTGAGCTCCAGTGGTTCCTGGAGAGAGGATCATTTTGCTTCCTGCTTAGCCATAGTGCTCAGTACGCCTGAAGCTCAATTCTAGGCATATGACTGCAGGCATTTTGGAGATGGAGTATCTGGAAATATAAATTCAATGTGAGGCTGTTGCTATGTTACTAAGAGCTGGGGAAAGGAAGGGCTCAGCTCTTCAGCCTCTTCTTTATTGGAAGGAGCTATGAGTAGGAATGGAAGAATTATGTGGTTACTAAGCAAAGAATCAAAGGTTACCCAGGTCCTGAGAGCAGGGGGGAGCTTGAAGAAGGGAGTCTATCCCTAACTATCAAAAGGAATTTAACAGGCCATGGATAATAGGGATATATTCCGCCTTTAGGAAGAAGCAGAGAGAAAAGTGCTGCAACCCTCTCAAGAGTCATTCTAATGGTTCCTGGAAGAGCATTGCCATTACCCAATCCAGGAATGGCCTATCGGTCTAGGAATAGTTAAAACAACTCTGTAGAGGGACTGAGTTCAAACCCCAACTGAGAAAACATGAGGGCTTAGAAAACAAAATGGTCCTAAACAAAGTAACTTTGACCTTAGAATACAGGAAATAAATAAAAACACAGATTTTAGCATAGTCAACAGGTGATTGAGATTGTCCCTTGCCACTGAAAGGAAGCTATAGGAAGAACAGAAATATAGCAAGAGGGAAGTAGAACAGAGCAAGGAGTCAAGGAATCAGTGGCCTTACCATCTGACAACATAAAACTGCATCTGGAAAGACCAATAGTGAGAGGGACAGGTGGTCTCATTGTTACAACAAAATTGGGAGTAGCAGAGAGCGCAGCAGCAGCATGACATGACCGTCTATCCTGAACTCCACAAAGAAACGGGGAGGCAACTCCTTCCTTAACTCCAAGGAATGAGCTTTTGACTAGTCTGATACAGAAATTCCAGGGAGGGCTGGGCATGGTGGCCCACACCTGTAATTCCAATAGTTTGGGAGGCTGAGGCGGGCAGACCACGAGATCAGGAGTTTGAGACCATCCTGGCCAACATGGTGAAACCCCATCTCTACTAAAAATATAAGAATTAGCTGGGCATGGTGGCATGTTCCTGTAATCCTACTCAGGAGGCTGAGGCAGAAGAATCACTTGAACCAGGGAGTCAGAGGTTGCAGTGAGCCAAGATCACACCATTGCACTCCAGCCTGATGACAAAGCAAGACTCTGTCTCAAAAGAAAGAAAGAAAGAAAAATTCCAGAGAATAAGAGATATGTTAGCTGGGTGTAGTGGCTCGCACCTGTAATCCCAATACTTTGGGAGCCCGAGGCAGGCAGGTCACCTAAGGTCAGGAGTTCAAGACCAGCCTGGCCAACATGGTGAAACCCTGTCTCTACTAAAAATACAAAATTTAGCCAGGCGTGGTGGTATACACCTGTAATCACAGCTACTTGGGAGGCTGAGGCAGGAGAATCGCTTGAACCCAGGAGGTGGAGGTTGCAGTGAGCCAAGATTGCGCCACTGTACTCCAGCCTGGGTGACAGAGCTAGACTCCATCTCACACATAAAAAAGAGATGTTTATGGTTTAGGCCCAGTCCGCACAGCAGTAAGAAAGCTAGGACAGGAAAGAATAAGCTCTCATAGTTGGATAAAACTACAAGTAGGAGGCTGCTCTACAAGCTAGTTGAGGAGGAAAGCCGGGAGACCTGTAGATCTGAGTGTCTGGGCAAAGGAGACCCTGCCCTTACCCTTTCTGCAAGAGGGTCATGCATTATCCACAGGACTCAGGATTTCCTGCTTAATGTAACACTTAGGACCCAGGGAAGCAGAGTGATAAGTGTGAGGGCTGGCCCTACCAATGAGTAGCCCAAAAACAGAATGTCACTTTCCACATGGAGGCTGCCACACCAACCTGTGAAGTGGTAAATGTAGAAGCCAGGCTAGAAGAGTAGGAATGTGAACTGATGGTCTAAAGTCCTACTTTAGCACAGATACGGGGTATAGCTTGTTTTCTAGAGACCAGTAGGACTAAGTGAAGGGAGATTTCTAGGGATAGTCTTAGTTTGAATATCAGTGCTAATGGGGTATGATATTTCCAGCTGAAAATGAGAGCAGGAGGCATGAGTGATTCATCCAAGTGGAAGAAACAGAAGAGATCCCCTCGGCCCCCACGCCATATGACCAAAGTTACACCAGGTTCAGAGCTGCCCACTTCCAATGGAACCACCTTATCATCTAACCTCACTGGTGAGTGCCCTGGACTGCTTCCTCTGATTAGACACAAGAAGAACTCCTTTCTCTCTGAGGGCTATTGAAATTGAAGACCAACCAACTGAGGGGCTTTGGTTTTTGTGCTGAGAACAAAAAGGGAAACTCCAGGTCAAATCAGACTGTGACCATTCAGCAACTCTGCATGACTTAAGGTTGTCCTCCTTTCGGAGGGACTCTAACAACTTTAGAGAACAATATCTGAAAAGATAAGCATGTAATCTGGGAAATGGAGCCCCTGGTACCATGGAGGTTGTGTTTTGTTTTGCCCACAGCCTCTCTCTCCTTCAAGCTTCACATACTTTTCTTGGCAGGTGGCATGCCCTTCATTGATGTGCCCACTCCCATCTCCTCTGCAAGTTCAGAAGCTGCCTCAGCAGTGGTCAGTCCTTCTACAGACAGTGGCCTGGAATTCTCCTCCCAAACCACCTCCAAGGAAGACCTTACCGATCTAGAGCAACCTGGCTCTCCAGTGTGCAGCACAGCTACAGAGCCTGGGAGCAGTGAGCTAGGTGTTCCTGAGCAGCCTGACCCCCAGGTATGGCTTTGATTTTTAAATGTCCCTCTTCAATATTCTGTGGGAATTGGCTTGATCCTTTGGATCCTTTATGCAGGACTTGGGTCAAAAGAAGCTCTGATCTTTCCTATTTCCCAGAATTCGCTGTGCTGCCTAGAAAACTCACAGGATGACTCACTGTGAGAGGTAGCTCATGAGATTGATCAAGTTATGCATACAGGTAGTACTTGACAAAAGGGTTGGAGCTAGCCATTGCTTTTTCTGGAAGGTAATGATCGAAATCCTAAGCCTGTGAGAGCCTCTGTGTCTCTAAGGTTCTAGTCACTGTAAGTCAGTGAAGCCTCAGGAGATGTTTTTCTGAGTCCTTCATCATACTACTACTTGAGCCATCTTGCAGTGATTCATAAACTGCTGATCTGGCCCTACATCTGTAGCCCATTAGAGACAGCTTGGAAGATGGGTACTTCAGGGGAGTAAGTTCCAAGTTGCTCTTGCCTCATCCTTCTTCCCATATCTCCCTGCTACTGGTCATAGCAGGAAGGGACCCATGTGGAAAAGTCCCAGTCAGCATCTGTGGAGTCCATCCCTGAAGTGTTAGAGGAATGCACGTCCCCTGCCGACCACTCTGACTCTGCCTCTGTCCATGACATGGATTACGTCAATCCCCGGGGTGTGCGCTTTACACAGTCCTCCCAGAAAGAAGGTGGGTACTCTGGCAGGCTCTGCCTGTTCACCTCCCCAATTCTACCCACTAAGCTGCCTGAGCCTAGACCGTCTTAGACCCAGATACTGGACTACTGCCTGTTGGCCCAAGTTCTAGGCTATTTTCTAGTCAGGAAATGGAGTGAAGCCATAAGACTGTTGGCATGGACGGAGCCCTTCGCTAACTTATACTATAGGGAGGAAGTTTGATGGGTGATAGAAAGCAAGAAGGAAGAATAAAAAGCTTAGGATCTTTGGCCGGGCGCGGTGGCTCATGCCTGTAATCCCAGCACTTTGGAAGGCCAAGGCAGGTGGATCACAAGGTCAAGAGATTGAGACCATCCTGGCTAACACAGTGAAACCCCATCTCTACTAAAAATACAAAAAATTAGCCGGTCGTGTTGGCATATGCCTGTAGTCCCAGCTACTCAGGAGGCTGAGGCAGGAGAATCACTTGAACCTGGGAGGCGGAGGTTGTAGTGAGCTGAGATCACAGCCTGGGTGACAGAACGAGACTCTGTCTCCAAAAAAAAAAAAAAAAACAAAAGCTTAGGACTTTTAACAGAAAGGTAGGATCATTAATTTTGATTTCATCCAGAAGTAGACTAGTCTTACCTCCCCGGAAAAAAAAAAAAAAAAAAATTTTTTTTTTTTTTGGTTGTTGTCCAGGCTGGAGTGCTGCTGCCCACAGCTCACTGCAGCCTCAACTTTCTGGATTCAAGCAATCCTCCCACCTCAGCCTCCCAAGTAGTTGAGACCATAAGCATGCACCACTGCACTTGGCTACTTTTTAAAAATCTTTTGTAAAAGATAAAATAAATAAAATAAAAATCTTTTGTAGAGATGGGGTCTCTCTATGTTGCCCGGGCTGGCCCCAAACTCCTGGCCTCAAACAATCCTCCCACCTTAGCCTCCCAAAGCACTAGGATTACAGGCATAAGCCATCACACCCAGCCCTTTTCCTCAAAGGGTTCACTTACCTAAAATTACCTTGTGTAATGCAGAGCAGGCTAGCCAAAGCCAGCAGATTAGTTGTTTTATAGCAGTCTCACTCTCCTCCTGGCCTTCCCCAGGCACAGCTTTGGTCCCCTATGGTCTTCCCTGCATCCGTGAGCTCTTCCGGTTCCTCATCTCCCTCACCAATCCACACGACCGCCATAACTCAGAGGTTATGATTCACATGGGACTGCATTTGCTGACAGTGGCCCTTGAGTCAGCCCCTGTAGCCCAGTGCCAGACCCTCTTGGGCCTCATCAAGGATGAGATGTGCCGCCACTTATTCCAGGTAAGACAAGATTACCAGAGGGGCTCAGAGCCTCTCTCAAGGGCCAGGGGAACACAGGGAGGTTTGGCTGATTATGCAAAAGAGTATAGGACCTAGGAGAGCATCTCCCTCCCAGTTGGCCAATAGTTTTAGTAAGAGGGTTCCAGTAATTCCCCAGGGACTCTGGCAGCCAGAGAGAAATATGGGAATGGCTAGATGTGGAGTTCCCTGGGAGTAGTGGACCTCCCAATGATACTTTCACCTAATTTGCCTCACCTGTCTCTCTTGGTTGAGCCATAAGTCAGCTTCAGAAACCTCACAGCCAGGCTGGGTATGGTGGTTCACACCTGTAATCCCAGTTCTTTGGAAGGCCAAGGCAGGTGGGTCACTTGAGGTCAGGAGGTCTAGACCAGCCTCACCAACACAGTGAAACCCAGTCTCTACTGAAAATAGAAAAATTAGCTGTGCATGGTGGCATGTGCCTATAATCCTAGCTACTCAGGAGGCTGAGGTGGGAGAATTGCTTGAACCCAGGAGGCAGAGGTTGCAGTGAGCTGAGATCATGCCACTGCTCTCCAGCATAGGTGACAGTGAGACTCCATCTCAAAAAAAAAAAAAGAAAAACTTATGGCCTACCCTACTCTGATCTCCAGCTACTAAGCATAGAGCGACTGAACCTTTATGCTGCTTCCCTGCGAGTATGCTTCCTACTGTTTGAGAGCATGCGAGAGCACCTCAAGTTCCAAATGGAGGTGAGTTTCTTGACCTGGGAAGAAAAAGGGAAAAAAAAATAGGGTGGTATATGGCATCTTCAGTGGGGCTAGCTCTGTCATGCTGCAGGGGTAGAATTTAGGGGCTTCCTGTAGGAGAGTGCTTTTGGCCTCCAGCATTCAGTTCAATCAACTGGCCTCTTTTGTGGAAAAGTTAAAAGGAGACCAGAGGAAACTGGCTGACCCCAAATGTGAGAACTGGCAGGTAACCTCACCATGAATAAGGCAAGTAAGTCAAGCCAGCATTGTCACTAAGTTGCAAAAAGGAACTCTAAATAAGACCAGGTTATGTTCACATAGAAGGCACAAAAAGAGCACGAGGCAACTTGTCTGGGACTAGGTGTGGTAGAGCCAGGCCTTGTCCTTCAACATGGAGGCCAAAGAGGAGGATGTATTTAGGGGATGGAATACTGTTGGGTGTCTCTTAATACATGCCTCTTGGCTGGGCTTCTGCATCCTGATTATAATGTTCTTCTAATTTTTTTCTCTTCCTATCTTGAATCCTTTCCCAACCCAATTGGGAATTACTGGGTTATTGCCAGATGTACATCAAAAAGCTTATGGAGATTATCACTGTGGAGAACCCTAAAATGCCTTACGAGATGAAGGAGATGGCACTAGAGGCCATTGTGCAGCTCTGGCGCATCCCCAGCTTTGTTACAGAGCTCTACATCAACTACGATTGTGACTACTACTGTTCCAACCTCTTTGAGGACCTCACCAAGCTGCTGTCCAAGGTGCTGAGCACTATAACTGGCCTCTGGAAAGAAGGCTTTATAAAAGAAATCTCCCTGGTGGTGGTGAGGATGCTACCTACAGAGAGCGAACACTTGAGAGCTGGGAAACAGAAAGAAGAAAAGCATTTCTAAGGGCAATGTACAAGTTAAAAGAGGTTTTAGAAATTTTAGATAATCAGTTAAAGTGTAAAGTGTTCTCCTAACTGCGAGTCTAATGGATCTGTTTACTTTCCAGAATGCCTTCCCTGTGTCTGGTCAACTCTATACAACACACCTACTATCTCTTGATGCCCTGTTGACAGTGATTGACAGCACTGAGGCCCACTGCCAGGCCAAAGTCCTCAACAGCCTCTCACAGCAGGAGAAGAAGGAAACAGCCAGACCAAACTGTGAGGCAGTAGAAGACACCCGAGAAGCTAGCAATAGTGAGAAGCATTTCTTTCTTTGAGGAACCCACGATACTATGCTTATCCCTTCTCTGCTCTCTGAGTCCTTTCTCATGTCCTCATATCACTTAACCCTGGGAAGCTCCCAATTCTGTTTCTGGAGTTTGGCCATTTGAATCATAGGCCAGTCAGGCAGATTAGCAGAACTCATGAACTTCTCCCTTTTTCCTCCTCCCCACTTTGGTTTTTTTACAGAACTATTATTTCTTTATGGCAAGAGAAGAGAATAGAGATTAAAGAATATAGCATTTCTATCTCCGAAAGCTCCAGGCCCCACCATCCCTTATCCCCAATATCTGCCTCTACTCTAATTAGTCTTCTTTAGCTCCCCCTTGAAATTCAAGGTTGCAGAAAATCAGGGAAAGTGACTGGGTAATCTCTTCATTAAATGAGAGAGTCTAATGCTTGGCTGGGACAGGGAATACTTGTTTTGGCTGGGGTTTGTCCTGGTCATGGCTGGCACCCTGTGTGGGAGCATACAGGTCTTCTGGGCTTGGGATTTAACCTTCCCTGCAGCTCTGCTTGCCTTCATACCCCATAAGTCTTCATGTATCTTCTTTCTTACCAGCTGAGAGAGCAGCCAGCGATGGGAAAGCTGTAGGCATAGCCCCAGACATCCCAGGCCTGCATCTGCCAGGTGGAGGGCGGCTGCCACCAGAACATGGGAAACCAGGATGCAGTGATCTGGAGGAAGCTGGTGACTCTGGGGGTGGGTACTGGGTGTTCATGACCCTCAACTCCCTCACCTGGAAGGACTGGTGGAGAGCAGAGGGAGGGAGCAGACACCTAGGATTGTAACTAAGCGAGCCTTGGTAGATTGCCATGGCTTTAGACTCAGAGAGAGGAAAGCAAACGTATGGACCGTCAGTTGATAGGACTTCCAGGGAAGTGGAAGACTGGTGAGAACAAGAACATTTCCGAGGCTCCTCCTTGAAACTGGGGAGTATATTGGTGACCTTCCCAAAGTCCATCTGGGTAAAAGAGGTCTTACAGGCTTTTCCCTTCTCTTCTTCCTACTCCTAGTTGACAAAAAGTTTGCCCGGAAGCCACCTCGATTTTCCTGTTTCCTGCCAGATCCACGGGAACTAATTGAAATTAAAAACAAAAAGAAGGTACATACATATATTTCCCAGTGTCCATCCACCTCTGTCTGGGTATCCAATGTAGGGTTTCCATCTTGGAGGATGAAGATGAGGCAGAGTCAAGCACCTCATTGTACAGCTTCCTGAGGCTAGTCTTTGAGCTTGTTGGGACTTCAGCAACCCCCATTTGATGCCCTTCCCTTACTCCTAAGCTATGTAGTTGAGCATACGCTATGTATGCCCTTGGGAAAATGCTATACCAATTGAGAGCCAAGTGTCACTGGTGGCAATGACAGGAACCTTGGGAGTTGGTGTCCTATGGGTCATCGAAGGTTACTGGTCATCTCCAGCCCTAGCATGATGATTGGCAATAAAGGGGAATTGACATTTATTCTGGTGCTTTAGTAGGGTTCAAATAACTGTTTGTATTTTGGGTTTCTTTTTTTTTTAAGATGGGGTTTCACCATGATGGCCAGGCTGGTCTTGAACTCCTGACCTCAGGTGATCCACCCACCTCAGCCTCCTAAAGTGCTAGGATTACAGGCGTGAGCCACCACGCCCGGCTTTGGGTTTCTTAAAACAAAGAAAACCTAACCCTTTCTGGCCGGGTGCAGTGGCTCACACCTGTAATCCCAACACTTTGACACCTGTAATCCCAGCACTTTGGGTGGTCGAGGCAGGTGGATCACCTAAGGTCAGAAGTTTGAGACCAGCCTGGCCAAGATGGTGAAACCCCATCTCTACTAAAAATATAAAAATTAGCTGGGTATGTGGTGCATACCTGTAATCCCAGCCACTCGGGAAACTGAGGCAGGAGAGTCACTTGAACCCAGAGGCATAGGTTGCAGTGAGCTGAGATAGTGCCACTGCACTGCAGCCTGGGTGACAGAGTAAGACTCCGTCCCAAGAAAAGAAAACCTAACCCTTTCTTTCTATTATTGCCAGCTTAAATGACTTTGGTTCATATGCGCCCTTGATTGCATGACCGTGACTGGACATACAGAAAGTTGAGTTGCCTCCACAATTAGTCCACTTTGTCCTTCAAACCCAGGGCATTAAGCTAGACAATCAAAGAATCCAAGCCAGGCTAAAAACAAGAGGCTTGCTGTCAACAAATGTCAGGGATGGATATAAAACTGGAGAGAAGAATTATCTAGTCTCTTTCCTCTACTTTTCCCCCCATCCTGAGTTAGAGGAGAGGAACTGTTTTATGTATCTTGAGCACTCAGGAAGGAGTAAAAAGGAGCTCATAAGTCAATTCAATTAGACATGAAGATGGGGGAAAGCTAAGGCCACTATGATCTAGCCTTAGTTCTGGAGTCACTAAGAACCACATCGTAGGAGCTTTTTAGGTGACCAGCTATGGGTGGGCTCTGGTGGACTCCAGGTTGGACTTGTCTGATTTGGTGGCAAAGCAGCTTCTATACCTGTAGTTTTTCTCCTGCAGCTGCTAATCACTGGCACAGAGCAGTTCAATCAGAAACCAAAGAAGGGGATTCAGTTTCTGCAAGAGAAAGGCCTTCTCACCATTCCAATGGACAACACAGAGATTGCTCAGTGGCTCCGAGAGAACCCTCGGCTGGACAAGAAAATGATTGGAGAGTTTGTGAGTGACCGCAAAAATATTGACCTGTTGGAGAGCTTTGTGAGGTGAGGAAGCTGTAAGAAATGTGGGATATAGCCAGGTACGGTGCCTCCCAGCACTTTGGGAGGCTGAGGCAGGCAGATCACTCGAGCTCAGGAGTTCAAGACCAGTCTGGGCAACATGGTGAAACCCTGTCTTTACAAAAAATACAAAAATTAGCCGGGCATGGTGGCACACACCTGTAGTCCCAGCTGTTCTGGAGGCTGAGGTGGGAGGATCATTTGAGTCTGGGAGTTCGAGGCTGCAGTGAGCTATGATCACGCCACTGCACTCCAGTCTGGGTGATGGAGTGAGACATTGGTTCAGAGAAAAAGAAAGAAAGGTGGGACATGGTTAGTGATCATTTGAAAGGGACAGAACATCCCTACCTCAAAGCAGTCTCTGTAAATTTCTTCTGGAGACCCAGGTTGATGTTCTTCCTCTGCCCATCATTTATATCTGTTGGACCTGAAAGGGACACCAACGAGATAGTTTGGGGAGCCTCTCCATTCTGTATGGAGTGCATTGCAAAGGGGTAGAGCAGGTTCCAGCGGGTGAGGGTTCTAGGCAAGAGTCTGTGGATGTAAAAAGTGTTAAGTCTAGGGGTTAAGGATGAACAGGAGATACTGCCCCTTTGCTAGAGACCTCAGCCTTCTCTCTTCCAGTAAGAGTAGGTTAGGAGGACAGTGACTAAAAGAGCCTGACATGTACAGCTTACACATTTTTAGCTTCTTCATCCTTTCTTTCCCTATAGCACCTTTAGTTTTCAGGGTCTGAGACTAGATGAAGCTCTCCGCCTCTACCTGGAAGCCTTCCGTTTGCCTGGCGAAGCACCAGTCATCCAGAGGTTGCTGGAGGCGTTCACAGAGCGTTGGATGGTGAGTTTGAGTGTCGGGCTGAGCCCAGGATCCAAGATCACTTTGACTGAGGGCTGAAGAGTTCAGCTACTGTCTTTTTTCTTTTTTTTTTTTTTTTGAGACAGAGTCTCACTCTGTCACCCAGGCTGGAGTGCAGTAGTGCAATCTCGGCTCCCTGCAACCTCCACCTCCCATGTTCAAATGTTTCTCCTGCCTCAGCTTCCTAAGTAATTGGGATTTCAGGTACCTGCCACCAAGCCTAGCTAATTTTTGTATTTTTCAGTAGAGACAGGGTTTTGCCATGTTGGTCAGGCTGGTCTCAAACTTCTGACCTCAGTTGATCCACCCGCCTCGGCCTCCCAGAGTGCTGGGATTACAGGCGTGAACCACTGTGCTCAAGCTGCTGTCTCTTAAAAAGGCAGAGAGCAACATCAGTGACCTTTCCACAAAGAGATCAGCTTCTGTTAAGGAGTTGACAAGAGGCTGGCCACTTTCTGGATGGCACCTTCCCCCTGTACTGGCACTGACCAGTGGGTTGGTAGTGAGGGTTTAATTGGCCAGAGAAGGGCATTGACACAGGTGGGATCTTTGCTTTTTCAGAATTGTAATGGCTCCCCATTTGCCAATAGCGATGCCTGCTTTTCCCTGGCTTATGCTGTCATCATGCTTAATACTGACCAGCACAACCACAATGTTCGTAAACAGAATGCACCCATGACCCTGGAGGTAAGCTTGGGTCCCAGTCAAGGCAAAGAAGACCCAGCACAGCTTTGGAGGTAGCAGGAAGGACATAAGATTTCCAGTGGGCACAATGGAGGGGGTTCTGTCCAAGGGAATCAGGAAGGGCTGACAATCCTAGAAAAGGGACTGGGGTGGGGAAGTGGGTTTTTTCACTTACTTTTTCCTAAGTTCTATTTACTAAAAACCCAGGAGTTCCTTGGGTAGGGCTTCAGTATTGACACAAGGGGAAAAAACTTAAAACTGGCCTATCTCTAGGAGTTTCGCAAAAATCTAAAAGGTGTGAATGGAGGCAAGGACTTTGAGCAGGACATCCTGGAGGACATGTACCATGCCATCAAGTGAGTATACATAGAAAATAGTATAGTATCTCTGTTAAGAAGAAGCACATTGCTTCCTTTCCCAGTTTTTAGAGTCATGTCAGACTGCAGTGACTCACGTGCCCTGGATTTAGCCTCAGGACTTAGTTGGGCAACCCCCTCTCTGCCAACTCCTTTCTTCCTTAAAGAAACCTGAACAATATTGGGACTCTAGTACTATAAGCTGGAGTCCAAAGTACTGCTCTTAAGTAGGATATCATGGCCCCATTTTCTGAACTTAAAACAGGTACGTTTTACTGTCTAGCTCACAAGATGCGTTCTCTGTCTGGTAGAGAACTCAAAGTGGGCACTGGAGCATGAGGCCCAGGTTACAGGTCAGAAATGGGCCACTTAGTTCTTTACCATAAATCAGTAAAAGTAGAATTGTTCATCTTGTCACACCAAGTAAGAATGTGAGATTTTACTACAGAACTAAGGCCTCACTTGGAGGTAGGCTTTTGAGATTATGGGACACTTCCTTTCTTTCTCCCTGCTCCCACTGGTGGGTGGGAAGCAGACCACTGAGCTGCAATTCTGATGGCTGCCCTCTCACAGTGGAGAGTGCTAGTATGGATGAACTCCTAGTCCTGATTTGGAACCAGTCAGGTTCAAAGCAGTACAACTGCTCCTTCCTTACCTCCTGACAGGAATGAGGAGATTGTAATGCCTGAGGAGCAGACAGGCTTGGTTCGGGAGAACTATGTTTGGAATGTGCTGCTTCACCGAGGTGCCACCCCCGAGGGCATATTCCTGCGTGTGCCTACTGCCAGCTATGATCTTGACCTCTTCACCATGACCTGGGGTCCCACTATTGCTGCTCTCTCTTATGTCTTTGACAAAAGCCTTGAAGAGACAATCATCCAGAAAGCTATCTCAGGCTTCAGGTAGCCCAGCTTTGGCCTTGGTCTTCACCTCTCCCCACCTCTCTGAGCTAACATGGTTTTCTCCATGCCTCTCTGACTCCTACTCTTACTTTCCTTAGAATGGGGATACCCTGAGTTTTTGGAGGGAGGCTGAAGCTTGGGTAAGCTCAGTCTTAAACAGAAACAAGATTAACAGGTTTCTTCCTGGGACTGACTGGGGAGGAGCCCCATGAAAGCTCAGGGACTTGGAAGGGCTGCTTGGCCTTCCAGTGACTCTGTTTCTGGGATGGGGGTAACGTTACAGGAAATGCGCCATGATCTCCGCCCACTATGGCCTCAGCGATGTGTTTGACAATCTCATCATCTCTCTATGCAAATTCACAGCTCTCAGCAGTGAGGTGAGCAGGTGCAGTAACCGTGTACTTGGAGCTCCAAAGGAGGACCTCTGTTTTAGCCATAGATCTACCCTTAGCAGCAGACCTGGTTGCCCTCAGCATCTTCCCTCACTGCCCCCACTTAAATATACCAGAGCTTAGGCCATTTCTGTCTCGCACACCCTGGGATAAAACTAGTGTTACTTCATGTAATGGGGATGGGAAAGGAGATGCAGGAATGGGGAAGGCGTTAACTAGGTTAACCCTTCCCACCAGTATTATGGGGGATTGAAACAGAGCCAACAAAAGGACCCCGAGGGAACCATGATAGGCAGAGACCTAAGAGATTTTCCTTCCCAGACATTAGTTCAGCCTTAAGTCTCTTCTCATCCTCTTTTCTAGTCTGTTGAGAACCTACCCAGTGTATTTGGAAGCAACCCTAAAGCCCATATTGCAGCCAAGACAGTGTTCCATTTGGCCCATCGTCATGGTGACATCCTGCGGGAGGGCTGGAAAAATATCATGGAGGCCATGCTGCAGCTCTTCCGAGCCCAACTACTGCCCAAGGCTATGGTAGAGGTAATTCTTAGTAGGAGACTAGTGAGCGGTGAGCGGCAACATCGTATGCTATCTGTATGTAGAAGTAAATGGTTGAGAGTAACGCTGGGCCTGATGCCTGCCACAGATCACCAGGAATGCCTCAAATGTAAGACCACAGATCTTGGGGAATAGCTATAAAAGAAGGCCAGTAGATGCCGTTGCCAGTCACCAACTGGCACAATACTGTAGGGGCAGAGTACCTCAGGAGGAAATCGAGAGAACTTTGGTGGGTGGAGGCAGGGGCACAAAGGCAAAGGACATAAGGAAAGAAATCATTTTGACTTACTTTTCCAGGTAGAAGATTTTGTGGATCCCAATGGCAAGATCTCTCTACAGCGGGAAGAGACACCATCAAATCGGTAAGAGCAGACCAGAGGCTCAGGGGCTTGGGGAGGGAGAGTCAGAACTTTGGGGCTCACCAAGTCATGTGCCCTTTTTCTACAGAGGAGAGTCAACAGTGCTGAGCTTTGTGAGCTGGCTAACATTGAGTGGTCCTGAGCAGTCTAGCGTGCGGGGCCCATCCACTGAAAACCAAGAGGCCAAGAGAGTGGCCTTAGAGTGTATAAAGGTAACTGCCCATCCACCCCTGGTGAGAAAGCCTAGACACCTTCCTATTAGACAATGCTACCCAGTGAACTGAAGAATAAAGTCATCCAGGATTTGTAACCAGGGCTGACTCTGCCCTTTCTCCCTGGCTCTTGGGGACGTTCTGTTCCCTTCAGCCCTTATCAAAGACCCCCCTCTCTCTTTTGCCCTCTCTAGCAATGTGACCCAGAAAAAATGATCACAGAAAGCAAGTTCCTCCAGCTGGAGTCATTACAGGAGCTCATGAAGGTACACGATGAAGAAAGGAAAGAAGCCGGGCGCGGTGGCTCAAGCCTGTAATCCCAGCACTTTGGGAGGCCGAGGCGGGTGGATCACGAGGTCAAGAGATCGAGACCATCCTGGTCAACATGGTGAAACCCCGTCT